TCTTATCATGCAGAATCTTTAAAAGTAGGGGGTGCAGAGGAAGAACAGTTCAACAAAACTCACCAACCAATCAACAGAGTTTGAGAGCACATGCAATATTCTACACCCAGAGTTCCCCACCTCTGCAAAGCTGAGAAGTAGACACATTTTCCCCTTTTTTCTCTGGGTTCCTGCTGGGCAATTACAATTACACAGCATTCAGGTCTTTCTGTTGTCCCTGAGGGTGATTTTTGCATATTGCTGGGTTGGTCCATTATTAAATGCTCTCTGGCTAGGCTAGTCAACCAGCATTTCTTAAGCCTTTTTTTGTTTTTGGTGAGGCAGTTGGGGTTAAGTGACTTGCCCAGGGTCACACAACTAGTAAGTGTCAAGTGTCTGAGGCTGGATTTGAATTTGGGTCCTCCTGACTCCAAGGCGAGAGTTCTATCCACTGTGCCACCTAGCTGCCCCTTAAGCCTTTATTAGTAAGCCCTGAGGGTTTACTAGATAAAGCAGGTAGGTGTCAAAGTAGACAGAGGCTGAACCTGGAGTCAGGAAGACTCAAATCTAACCTTCAGACAGTAGTTGTATGACCTGAGCAAGTCACATAACCTCTGACTGCCTCAGTTTCCTCAACTGTAAAATGGGATAAGAGCACCTAGCTACTCCAGTTGTTGTTAGGACCAAGTGAAATATTTGTGAAGTGCTTAGTAACAGTTCTTGACTCATAGCATGCACTTACGTGCCAGGCACTAGTACAGGTCTGTGAGGGCTAGACAATAGTACACAGATGAATGAATGAACGAATGCCTCTTAGTTTGGACTGAACTGGTGACAGAAATGACTCCAACAGAGTGTATAGGCAGACTGTGATAGCAATTATCACGAATTCCTCCTTTCCAAAAGGCAGCACACAATTATCAAGCCAGCCCTGCTCTGGCTGCCTGGCGCCTGCTACTTGTCGCTAGTCACGTGACACAGGTCTCTCTCTCTACTTTCCCCTGGCTCTCAGTTTCAGCCTAGAACTTCTCCAGGGAGGATTCTAAATTCTCAAAATTCTCTCTTTGGATTCTCAATTAATGACACCCTAGAAGAAGCAGAGGGGACTGACCTAAATAAGACAAAAAGTGGACCAGGGAAGGAAGGAGAAGGAGGAAGTATGAAGCAGGGGTCTGGGTCAGCTTGCTATAAATTTATTAAAACTTCTTCCTGAAGTCAAAACTGGTTCTGAAGATGATTCCAAAAGAGAAGTTTCTAGTAACTCTTGTTACTAGATCATTTTGATGGACAACATTCATTTAGATTTAGAAGAGGTTCCTAACCAGAGATCCATGAACTTGGTTTTTAAAAATATTTTGAAAACTTTAAAAAATATAATTAGTTTCTTTTGTAATGCTGTATAATTTTATTTTATGCATTTAAAATCATTAGTCTAGTAAAGAGTGCTGGGGCAGTTGGGTGGCTCAGTGGATACAAAGCCAGATCTGGAGTCAGGAAGGCTCATCTTTCCAAGTTCAAATCTGGCCTCAGACATTTACTAGCTGTGTGATCTTGGGCAAGTTACTTATCCTTATTTGCTCAGTGTCCTTCAATCAGTCAAATAAGCTGGAGAAGGAAATGGCAAACCATTCTATCGTCAAGACATTCCCTTTGTGGTCCATTTTCTGTCCATTAAGCCACATTCTTTGCCAAGAAAACCCCAAAAGGGGTCACGAAGAGTCATGCATGACTGAAAAAGACTGAGTAATAACAGATGTCTTGCAAAATAATTTAAGCTTCCAGAGTAAGTTGTTCTTACCTTTATTTTACTGTACAAAAAAGCAGAAAGATCACCATAAGAAAATTTACCAAAAAAAAAAAAACCAAACAGAGCAATAAAGTCATTCCTGAGTCAGTTTCTCAAAAAAAAAATGTCAAAAATAACCCAGGTGCCTCACAAATCTACTTAAAATGCTCGTTAAAATCTATAACTTTCATTAGAGTACCTCTTCCAGGAAAATATCACATTCCAGGTGGCTATCAGTATGGCACCTGACACTCAAGATATGGCTGGAGACATAAAAAAAAAAGCATATCTGGTAATAGTAGTTAGCAGCATTCAGAGCTAGTGGAAGGAAAGGTCTTGATAAATACTTCAATGCCCCACATGCCTACTGCTGTTCAATACTTACTATCAATGACTTAGATGTTGATACAGCCACAGTACGAGATTAATGAATGCTTATTGGTTGATTGGTTGATAAGGTATTTGCCAAGGTGGCTGTGGTAGACTGGATAACAGTCAGGATTCATTAGATTAAGAGTTGGAAGGAACCTTAGAAAGGTTATCAAGTTCAACGTCCTCATTTTACAGATGAGGAGACCGAGAAACAGAGAGGTTTAGTGAATTGCACAAAGTCACACAGCTAGTTAAGTGTCTAGGGGCAGAACTCAAACCTAGAAGTTCCTGACTTCAAGTAGAGCACTGTATCGATTATTTATGCCACCTTGTTTCAATAGGTGGACAAGATGAAATTTAACAGGAAGAAATAAAAGTGTCTGCATTTTAATGAATTTAAAAAAAAATGTCCAAGATGAGAAACACCTGGTTCAAGAAACGTTCATTTGAAAAGGATCTGAGAATTTTAAAAGGTCACAACTGGATAAAGCAACTGACACCAGAGTCAGGAGGACCCCAGTTCACAATGTGACCTCGACCTTGGGCGGGTTACTTAACTCCACTGCCCCCCCCCCAAAAGGCTATAAACTCAGTGGGAGCATGGTGAAGTTGCTAAAAAAAAAGATTCAGGCAATCTTAGACCAGATTAATAGATGTATAGTGTTCTGATTCCAACTAACAATCATCCCATTGTACTGAGGGTTAGTCAGCCCACATCTGGAAAACTGAGTTCTGTTTTGGTTCTATATTACGTATAAAAGACAATGAGACTATGCCAGAAACGACAGCTACAATGATGCTGAAACCCTATAGCACAAGAAGTGATGAAAACACGTTTTACTTGGTAAAGACAATGGGTGGGTGATCTGTCTTCAAATATTTGGAAGGTTTTTCATGGAAAGAGGACACTTTTGTGCTCTGTTGTTCCAAAGAATAGACTGCTGGGAGGTAAAGGTTAAGTTAACATAAGGATCTTCCTAAATTTTAGAAATCTACTTTGAGCTGTTTTTTGGCTGTTTCCCCACCCCAGGGTAGCTAGGTGGTGCAGTGGATAGAGCACCAAGCCCTAGAGTCAGGAAGACCTGAGTTTAAATCTGGCCTCTGACATTTATTAGCTGTGGAACCCAGGGCAAGGCACTTAACCCCATTGCCTCCCTCTGTTCCACTCCCCCCCCCCCAAATATAGAAGGGACCTTATAGCTAGTTTATTCCACCTTGCCCCTCTATGGGATGTTGTACAGTGTTAAGAGTTCTGTATTCTGAGTCTGGAAATTTTGAGTTCTGTCTTACCCAGTGGGATCACAGGGCCATAGAATGAGAGTTGAAAGAACTTTAAAAGCCACCTCTTCCAATGCCTTCATTTTACTGATGAGGAAACTGTGGCCTAGAGAAATTAAATGACTTTTCCAAGTTCACAGCAGTATTGACAGAAACATAATTTGAACTCAGGTCCTCTGGTACCTACCAGCTTCGTGACCTTCAGGAAGTCTAAAATCCCCCTTTACCTTGAAAATCCTAGACTCCTAAGATTTATTCTATACAAAGCACAGTGTTAGTTGCTGTGGCAAAGACAATGTCTAAGATGGGCCCTCCACTATGAGAAACATGAGTTTCAAACTCCTGAGTTCAAATCCAGCCTCAGATACTTATGAGCTGTGTGATCCTGGGCAAGTCACTATTTGCCTCATTTTCCTCATCTGTTAAATGGGGATAATAACAGCTCCTACCTCCCAGGATTGTTGGGAGGATCAAATGAGATAATTGTAAAGTGATTGGCACACTGACTAACAAAATGCTATTTTTTTTTCTGTTGGCTGTGGGGAGCCATGGAAGATTTTCTAGCTGGAGAGTAACACGTTTTAGGAAGATTAAGCTGACATCTCTCGTAAGGCTGTATTGGAAGGTGTAAAAACTGAAGGGGGAGTGACTATCTCAATTTATAAGCATTAATTAAATAATAAGAGGTAGACTTTGAGTTCCCAAACTAGGACATTAAAAAAACACGAGATGGGGAGTGGGGGGAGGGGTGGGAAGGAAGGAAGGAAGGAAGTTAAGCCCACCCAAGAAATCCTGGTGGCTCCTAAGCCACCTTGTCTCTTGGTTTTCCCTGTCTTATCCCACAAAGTAGCAACTTCATTTGACAATGGGCTGCAGGCTGCTCCTGAACAGGGTCAGAACGGAAAGACTGCTTAAAACTTACGAAAAAGGCTGCCCAGTTTTTGAAAGGAAGAGAGGGGTGAAAGCGGAGGGAGAGAGCATAAGAACCTCTCAGTTTTTGTTAAGGTTTTATCATCTGGGTGGCCGAGGACATGCTGGCTCCATCCCCCAAACAGCATCTTCTGCTGTTTGGTCAAGGTCAAGTGCCCAGAAACTTCTCTCCACAGTTTCCTTACTTCAGATTTTAGAAGAAAGTTCCGACTGCAGAGATGGGGGGAGGGGAAGGGGAGGAAGAAGGGGAGGAGATTTTGTTGACTTCGTTGTGTGTGTTTTTTTTTTGGTCGGAGGCTAGAGAGGCAGAAAAGGTGGGGAATGATCTGGGAGGCATCAAGGGAGCTCCAAGAGTAAATCACCAATTTGGTATTTTTCGTAGGATTTAGGCCAACTCCGTTCTGGATCTTTCAGCAGCAGATCCTTGTTCGGCAGCTCGATTGCTGAGTAACTCCTTACAAACAACAACTTTCTTTACTCTTTCCCCGTCTGTTTATCTCTGACGGGTGCCTTCCCATTCCCCCGCAGCATCCCACTCTCCGCATTTGGTTCAGGGCAATGCGTTGCTATGGATAGCCTTTCCCAAAAGTGTGATCTAACTGTAGTCTCTATGGGTCGTGGCCGCCCGCAAAGCAAGGCCAGGCCTTTCACTTACTGCAAAAGGTGATCAGTCCCAGTGCAAATCCCATTAGGATCTTCGTCACAAAAAATTCTGTCGCCATAGAGCCACAGATCTCTAAGGAGAACAGGGTGAGATGCGCGCTCTGGTAGAGGTAGCTGGAGGGTCTGAAAAGTAGCCAAAAGAAATTAACTACCTGCTTTCTTCGCCTTAAGGGGTAGTCCCAGTATACTCTTTTCCCCGTCCCTTTTTTTTCCCACCCCAACTCACGTAGCGCTAAGCTCTCCTTCTTCAAGTGCGGGGTTATCCCACCGCTTTTATTTCCCGCCCTCCTCGGCGTCCCCTCAACTCACCTTTGCAGAATTTACGGGGCGGAGAGTTCGATTGCTCCTTTTCGATTTACCCCAGTTTTGCTATGTGGTTAAAAATAGGTCGGTCTGTCTCTCTTTCTACAGCCACGCAAACTCGTATTTAGAGTGCGCCTTTGGTGAACACTGATTGGCACTTTGGGTGGCGACCCTGCCCGATGAGACCAAGGCAGGTTCTACAGACCCGCGGGCACAGCGTCCGGAAACTCAAGAGGCGGAGAAGAACGCTGGACTAAGACAACTGGGCGGGGTTTGCTGATGTCAGAGCGGGCCTGAGAACAGCTGATAAGATTCAGCCTGTGTTTCTTTATTAAAATTACGGGGGCGTGGGGGAAGGGGGTACCTGGAAGGGAGCTGCTTGTACTTTATGGATGAGTATCAGTCACATCCTAAGCTACGCTAGACTAGCTCTTGAGTTACCTCGGACAAGTCTTCAGTCGATTCCTTGAAATCCCACCCTAATTAACCCCTGAAGTGTTTCGAACTCTTAAAAGGGGAATTCGGATTCTCAGCCCACTTCTGTATCTAGGTCTTCCCCGTTTCTTCACGTTCCTCTAATGCATCTTCTGCCATCTCAGAGCCCTTGAGGGTTCCCAATCAAAAGGCCCTGAATGCCTGTCTTATGGCTAGCAAACTCCCACCTAACGGTAGAAGTACCCTTAATTCTGGACACACGGGATCCCTACTGCCTAGGGTTAAGCAGACTAACTACCACCAACCTCTGCTCGCTCATGCCCATCCACATCAGCTGTGCCCCTGTCGAGTTCCCATCCAGCTTTTGCCTTCCTCTACTATTGTGCCCACTGGGACAATGTTTCATCAAACAACCTTCTCTCTATTCTTTTCTTCTCTCTCCCGTCTTTTGAAATTAATCAACTGGCTTCCCCCCTTCCCTCCCTAAAAAATACACTCGATCCTTTGCTGTCCTATCCAGGTCTGTACGAACCTTCTCATGACACTAGAGACACTGGGATAACAGCCCTGCATCTGATCTTTATAAACATTTCTAGTTCCTTCTTCTGTCCCATCATTTAACAACTCCTCTTCTGAGATTCAATCTGAGTCAAATCATGCAGTATTTCTTAAGTGCCAGGCACTGTGCTAAGAACTGCAAATACAAATACGGTGTAAGGAATGAGAGAAGGTATCTGCTCAAGGGCATGATGATGGAGAAAAAGTTCAGAGAGTTAATGGGGTGGGGCTCAGAGAGGAAGAAAGGAGTTAAGGTGGCTGGCTTGGGGGCCCTTCTTTAAAACGGAGGTCCTGGGAGGAAATGACTAAGGGGGGGAAAAGGACCATAGGAGCAGAGAGATCTTCCCAGATGAGAAGGCTACTGGCATATGGCACATGGTAGCAACAGAAGTCCAGAGAGTCAGGAATAGAGGCTAGGGATAAATGAAGGAATGAAGCCATCCAGATACAATGCCCTACAGATCCTCTTGGCAGCAATCGGTCGAAAGGTTTTGAGGGGGTAGAGTAGCAAAGGGCATGGAGAGCTGGAGTCAGGAAGACCTGGCCACTAGCTAGGTGACTTTGGATGAATTCTTGAACTTCTCTGGCCTCCATTTCCTTATCTGTAAAATGAGGAGGCAGGACTCAACCTTTAAGGCCCTTCCCACCCCAAATCTATCATGCCATAGTCATTCTCCTCTTTTTCTCAAGGAGTTGAGTAGTCGGATCACAGTCTTTCTCTCCACCCCAAACACTTCTCTTATACTTGGGAACTTCAATGTACAGGTTAATGTCCCTTTAAACAACCTGGTCTCCCAGTTCATCAATCTCCCCGATCAAGTCCTATGATTTGTGAAGACTCTTACCTCAGTTCTATCCAGAAACAGCCACACACTTGGCACTCTGCTTCTGTCTGCCTAAACCTATTCTTCATACCCTTTGTGACCTCTAGTTTTTCTTCTCCTCAATGCTCTCTCTGCCTGTCTCTCTTGGTGTGGCTTCACTTCCCTTCCTTCTCCATCTTAACTCTATAATTAACCAATTAATTTACTGTTTTCAACTCTCAAATCTTTAACTCCCCATCCAGAGTTACCTAATTATCTTCCTTTTTTCCTATTCTTACTCTACTGAAGATACTGGAAGAGTTTACACAACCTTGGTGACTAGATCCAAGACATATTTATTATCTCTTTTTTATTGGGCTATACTGCAATGCTTTTACTCTCTTAATTTATTCTTTATCCCAGGGGCCATCCATCACCAGTCATCCTAACCTACGTCTTGCCATTGGACCTGGATGATTCTGGAGGACAGAGTGAGGCTGACTTTACTCAGCTCTGCTTCACTTAAATCCAATTCACTTGCAAGTCCAGATATCACCCTCCTGTCATTGGTGCTCTTTGAGAATGAAGGACAGATTCAGCAACAATCCCACAGGGGCTGTCCAAACCTTCTCTCCTCAAGCTTCCTGCTCTTCTTCCTCCTCCTCCAACTCCCTCTCAGCAGATGGCCATGTCTTCTACATTACTTTGAAAAGAGGCCTTTCATTGAGAGCCCCTTCCCGCCTTTTCTATGCCTCGGAAGGCCTTGACATTCTCTCACTTCCTTGAGTGTCTGAGGAAGATGAGACCCTTCTCACGAAGATTACCAAGTTCAACCCCTTTACCTGTGCCCATGATCCCATGTTATCCTGACTCTTTCTCCAGCACCTTGTCCCTCCAGTCACTGCCCCTCTCTCTTTAATCTGAGATCTCTTCTTGATATGGGCTTCTTCTGTTAGCTACATAACCCAGTCCTGCACAGCGTTGGTCATATGTTGTATCTTCAGCTCCTTTGGGGCAGGGACTGGTTATTGGGGTGGGGGAGGGGGAAGGGTGTTGTTTGGTTTGGTTTTGCCTTTTTTTTGTTCTTACTTCCCCATTAGTCATGATGAACAGTTAAAACTAAATGGGAGGGGGGAAAAACAAGCAAAAAAAAAAAGAAAAAAACTAATGAGAGGAACCACAAGAATGAAGCAATAAAACAACAAAGGAAGAGGAAAGCAAATAGCATTCTTCCATCTGCATTCAGACTCCATATTTCTTTCTCTGGGTGTGGATAGCAATTTCCATCATGAGACTTTTTGAGTTGTCTTAGATTCTTGCATTGCTGTGAAGAGCCAAGTCTATCAAAATCAGTCATCCCATAATGTGACTGTTATTGTGTACAATGTTCTCCTGGTTCTGCTCATTTCACTCTGTATCAGTTCATGTATGTCTTTCCAAGTTTTTTTGAAGTCTTCCTGCTCATCATTTCTTATAGCACAATAGTATTCCATTACATTCATATACCACAGCTTGTTCAGCCATTCCCCAATTGATGGGCATCCTCTCAATTTCCAATTCTTTGCCACCACAAAAAGAGCTGCTATGAATATTTGTGTACATATGGGTCCTTTCCCCTTTTTTATGATATTTTTGGGATACAGAACTGATATTGGTATTGCTGGATCAAAGGGTACACACAATTTTATAGCCCTTTGGGTATAGTTCCAAATTGCTCTCCAAAATGGTTGGATCACAACTCCACCAACAATGTATTAGTGTTTCAATTTTCCCACATCTTCTCCAACATTTTTCATTGTCCTGTTTTGTCATGTTAGCCAATCTGATAGGTGTGATATGGTACCTCAGAGTTGTTTTGATTTGCATTTCTCTAATCAGTAGTGATTTAGAACATTTTTTTCATATGACTATAGATAGCTGTAGTTTCTTCCTCTGAAAACTGCCTGTTCATATCCTTTGACCATTTATCAATTGGGGAATGACTTGTATTCTTATAAATTTCACTCAATTTTCTATATATTTAAGAAATGAGGCCTTTATCAGAGACACTGGTTGTAAAAATTCTTTCCCAGTTTTGTGCTTCCCTCCTAATCTTGGATTCATTGGCTTTATTTGTGCAAAACCTTTTCAATTTAATGTAATCAAAACCACCCATTTTGCACTTCATAATATTCTCTATCTCTTGTTTGGTCATAAATTCTTCCCTTCTCCATAGATCTGAAAGGCAAATTATTCCTTGTTCTTCTGCATTTCTTTATATCCCTAGAACTTAGCTGACACTTAAATGCTTGTTGACTTAACTCCATCCCTAAAAAACCTTCACTTGAGTCTCTGTCAGTTCAAATTTCCATCTTACATCTCTCCTCCCTTTTCATAGCCAAACACTTCCTTTCCTCTCACTCAACTTCTCATCCTATTCTAATGCAGCTTGACTGAAACACCTTTACAAGAATCTCTCAATTGCACAATCAGGCGACCTTTGACCTTTGACAGCCGACTACCCTATTTCTAGACAGTCTCTCTTTCCTGAATTTCCATGACACATGCTCTACCTGTTCTCCTACCTGCCTAAAAGATGCCTTCCTAGTCTCTCTGGGGGATCATCTTCCATGTCCGAATCCACTAACCATGGTCAAGGTTCACAATGTCCATCATTCCTCATTTCCCATAGATAATCAACTGTCAAGCTTTGTGAATTCCACCTCCATATCTCACTCCCCTGTTTTCTTCACTCCTTCACATTAGCCTTTCACCATCTCTGGACTGAATATTGCAATAACTTCCTAACTGACCTGCCTGCTTCTGGTCTTTCTCATTTTCAATTTATCCTCCACACAGCTGCCAGATTGATATTCCTAAAGCACAGGTCTGACTACCTCATTGCCCTGCTTCAGAAGTTTCCATGGTTCCTTTTTTGCCTTCAGGATGAAACTGAAACTCCTCTGTCACATTAAAGCCCAACCCATATTTCTAGACCTATATCACATCACACACTCTCTCATACTTTACTTTTTAGCCAAACTGGCCTACACTGCATTCCATGCTTTTCCTCTGTACCTATTTACAGGCTGGTTGCCTGGCTTCTCCAGGCCTGGAAATTCTCCCCTTTTCCTCCTCAACTCTTAGGATTCCCAGCCTCAGTTTAGGCTAAGATCAAGTGTTATCTTCTACACAGGATCTTTTCTGACCCCCCTCCCAAATTATCCTAGTTACTTTTTATATAGTTTGTGTTTCCTTACATATGTGTATGTACATGTTTGCCTACACTGAGTACAAGCTCCTTCAGGCAGAGGAGGTTTCCATATTTTTTGCTATTTTTGTTTTTGTCTTTGTATCTCAAGTACGTAGTACAGTGCCTGGCATGTAGTAGGGTTAAAAACTTAATAACTGCTTGTGGAATGAGTGGATGAATGACTAAGGAAAAATGTAGACAACGTTCTACATACTAA